CGCACACTGATATTATGTGATTGAGTCTGGGCCACACAGCTAATGAGTGTCAGAGGTTTTATTTGAACCCTGAAAATTTAAAAATAGATCTACATTAGAGAATACTCTTAAAAACTGATTTTAATTAGACTTGTGATTTCATCAGCTTTGGGAGCTCCTTGGGAGAAAATGCCTCTAATAATGCAGGTCAGCATCTCCTTTACTTCTTAAAGTCTTCTTAGACATTTACCTGGGGCACTGAGAGATTAAGTGATCTGCCTTGAGTTGCAGACAGAAGTGTTTGAAATAGGACTTGAGTCTAGGTCTTCCCAACTTCCTGATTTATTAGAGGATTAGGCAGTAAATGTTAAGAAATGAATGGGACAGTAAGTGCTATCCATTCTCAGTCAAAGATGAGATCACTGTGGTCTTAGAAAGCTTCATGGAGGAAGTGAGACTTCAGCTGAGTCTTAGGATTTGGATGGAGGATTTAGATGGCGTCAAGGGAGACCATGAGTAAAGATATAGAGGTTGAGACTTAGTATGATGTTGGCTAAATTGAATTGAATTAGAGGGATAGTGAGGAGACCACCATCCTCATAATACTTTTGGATGGAGCAAAAGATTAGGTGTTAGGGAATAAGTTTGGAAAAGGAGGTTGGAACAAAATCATGGTAGATCTTGCTTGAATTTTGATTCTTGTCTGGTAGGGAGTGCTAAACCTTTGAAGGTCTTTGAACAGAGAGTGTCATAAACAAAGTAGTGTTTTGGAAAGATTAATCTGGTGGGCCCATATGTCAGGTGTAATTGTGAATGAATCATTGATCAACAAACATTTATTAAGCACTTACTATATGCCCATCACCAGATATACAAAGAAAATACAAAAATAGTTCTTACCTACAAGGTACTTATATTCTCATGGGGGAGAAAGCATATATAAATCAGAACATACAAGATAAATAACAAAGAAATAAAATTCATCTTTTGCCTTTGAGGGAGCAGATTACAATGTGCTGGATTTGGAGTCAAAGGACCTAGGTTTGAAATCTGTCTCTATCATTTATGTGACCCCTGAGCAAGCCAACAAAGTGCCCCACAAAAGGCCAGCAAACCAGGCTATCTGAAGCAGCAAGGTGCATGACAAAGAGACACCAAATAGCATTATACCGGGCATCCAAGCCACGACCACCATCTTGACCACTATCTCCCCTCAGATTCTCAGATGAGACAGTCTGGGACCTTGAACCCAAAAGCTTTGGGAAAGTGATGCTTGCAGGGCAGAGATTGCAGCCATCATCCTGGGAAGAAATCCCTGTGGAGGTGTAGCCCGGCAATATTGCTTCCTGCAGATGCTATAGCCATAGTTACTGAAGACCCAGAAAAGAATTGTCAAATAGTTCAACCTGAGGAAATGATACAAGGCATTGCTGTCTACTTTGTTGTTTCCCTTATTGGAATGTAAGTTCTCAGACAGAAGAGACTATCCCCAGTGCTAAGCACAGTGCTTTACGTTGGCAATTAACAAATGGTTCACTCATTCATTTAACTCTGTGGGCCTTAGTTTCCTATCTGTAAAATCAAGAGGTTGGATCAGACCACTTTTTTTTTTCCCAAGGCAGTTTGGGTTAAGTGACTTGCCCAGAGTCACACAGCAAGTAAGTTATCAAGTGTCTAGTCTGAGACGGATTTGAACTCAGGTCCTCCTGACTCCAGGGCTGGTGCTCTATCCACTGGGCCACCTAGCTGCCCCTCAGATGACTTCTAAAATTCCTTCCAGCTCTAAGCCTATGACCTTATGACTTTTCTATTTTTACATATACATAACTATATCCATGCTGAATCACTTTGTGTACTTCTAGGGAGTTTGGGGTATCTATCTTGCTTTGACATGTTAAGAAGGCAGAACCTCTAAAAGGGGCTAGCCTTGCAAAGAGGGGGCTCAGACTATTTCCTACCTGCTGACATTTAAGTAGTTTGTAAAAGATCGGTCTCTCACTCAGAATATCTCCCTTACTCAGCCTGAAATTCCACCAATTAGTCTTTTTAAAATGCACATACTTCCAGGAAGATTAATGACAGTGAGTCATTAGCCATAACTTAGTTTATTCAGATTGCTTTCATTCTCACTTAGTTAAGATCTGACAAGCTGAGTGAATGGAATGGAAATTTTTGACAGGTTTCGGGTTAGGTTGGAGTCATTTCAGTTTATAGAATGGGGGATGGGGAGAGGGAAGGCCTGGGTGAGCTGCAGAATTGTGTGGGGTCGGGGTGGGGGTGGGGGTAGATTTGAACAGCCAGAGGCAGTGTGAAGGGATAACCCAGAGGAGGGGGCATGTGGTATTGAGTTCAGATTTCAGAGAGGTAAATGTAAGGGCACCAACTTTGAGACTCTAAAGTTTAGTAATTATCTTTCTCACCTCTGCCTTCCTATTTCGTTTGTACATCTCTTATGTACTCATCATAAAAACTCAAATTATTCATTTAGCACTTTTGAGGTTTACAAAGCAATTTCCTCAAAACAGTACCGTGAAGTAGATATTATTATCTTCATTTTATTGGTGGGGAAACAGGCTCAACTTGGAGATTCTGTGATTGTTATACTCCCCACACCCCAATAGAGAGCAGGGACTATTTTATTTAATCTCACTCACCCCCAGAAATCAGCTCAGTGCTTTTCCTGTAATAACAGGCTAACAATTTTGTCTCTCAATACCTTGTGTTTAGACACTTGCTCTTACACCTTATTCTCTCCCCCCATTCTCCTTTTCAGTGACAGAGGCTTTATGCTGCCCCTGAGACAAGAACTGCATCTCTAGATTGGGCATTTTCACCTATCTGGAATACTTCTCCCTCCTCATCTCAACCATCTGGCTTTCCTAGCTTCTTCCAAGTTCCAGCTAAAATTCCAACTTCTCTGAGAAAGCCTTTCCTGTTCCTCTTTAATACTATTGCTTCCCTCTACTGATTATCTCCAATTTACCCTGTCTATATTTTGTTTGTACATAGTTTTCTCCATTGTATAATGTTTTCTCCATTGAACTGTGAACTCCCTGACAACCTGGGACTGTCTTTTGACTTTCTTTGAATCCCCAAGTGCTTAGCACAGTGCTTGTCAAGTAGTCGGTACCTAATAAATGCTTATTGATTGTAATCAAAATTATCCATTTTGCATTTTGTAATGTTCTATATCTCCTGTTTGGTCATGGATTCTCCTGTTTTCCAGGTAAACTATCCCTTGCTCTCCCAGTTTGCTTATAGTATCAGTCTTTATATCTAACTCTTGAACCCATTTTGACTTTGTATATGGTATGAGATTTTGGTCTACGCCTAGTTTCTGCCATACTCTAATGTTTATTGTTTGATTGACTGACTTTCTTAATGTAGTTTTATCCCTCACTGATGCAGCTTAAAACTCCTCTGTGTTTTACCACTTGCTTCATGAGCTGCTGTAGCTGAAAAAAATCATATTTTGCTAGCCGAACTTATAGTGGTGAGTCTTTTTAAACTTAGCTAGCCTCATCTTCAGAGTACAGGCTGGTGGGACCTGTAGTACAAATCCTTAGAGCTTGTGCAAGACCAACCCTAAGTTTCAGAATTGACGGCCACCATGAAGCCTCAAAGTAGTACTTTGATGGGAAAAGACCTATCATACTTAAAGGCTTAAATGGATCTGTGATTTCATGGGCATGATTACTGCCTTCAGTGGTACAGATTGTAACCAGCTACCTCTTATCTTATGCATTTCCCATTCATGGCTTCCCACACTTTCTCCATAAAGGAACCATACAACACAATATGCCCTTCTTCTGGTTCTCTTACTATTTTGTAGGAACAAGTGTGACACTTGGTTTGCTTCAAGGGCAGATCCATTTAATACCAATATTTTCCTGATGATGCTTTTTGTTTTGGTTTTGGTTCAGACCGATGAGTTTTATCAATGCAGGGAATTCTCCGTGTGGAAACTGTATCCTTTTGATGCAGTTGGGCAACTTTCTGCAACTTGCAGTCTTTGAGAATTGCTGGTCTTGAGGGGTTGTGACTTGCTTTTGGTTATCTGTAGGGAGACTCGAACTCGGATCATTCTGACTGCCTGGTATTGATAGCAAATCCCAATATGCTACATTTGCATAAGCATCTCAACGGCAGGTGGTCCAGGCAGTGAACGTCAGCAGGTTTTCACCGAGATTATTTGTCAGCAATAGAGGAAGCAGGTTGGTGAAGTGGCGATGCCTAGACTTGAGAATCAGGGGACCTGAGCTGGAATTCTGGATCTGCTGGGAAGTAGCTTTGTGACCTTGGGCAAGGAACCTGCTTAGTTTCCTTATGTGAGTTACACCTAGATCAACAGGAGCTGGTTCCTTCACTTTTTAGTATGTTCTTGTTGGTTAACTTCTCCACGGTCATAACGAAAACATCAGATTCATCTGTATTATAAAAATGAATTGTGTGGTTTTTTTTTTAAATCTGGCTTTTGTTTACTGCATCTCTTACTCTAAGGCTGCACGCTCTGCTGGTCAGCACTGTTGGCACTGCGACACGTGTGCTCTGGGGCGGCAGTGACAGTCTAACCTCCAGTCTGCCCCGCAACCTCCTCTCCGCTTGGCCACAGCGGAACATCTGTCCAATCACCTCAAAGCTCGAAGAGTGAGGGGCGGAGTTACAGAACACGCTCTCTCTCTTCCCCCACCTCCTCTTCTCGCACCTGCGCGTCCCTACATTCTCCCTCGCCTGCCGCAACCTCCTCCCCTCCCCCAAGTCGGGGACCGAATTGGGCTAAGGGCTTCCTCCTCTCGCGAGATTCTTCTCCTCCTTCCCCCCCGCCCTCGAGTTCCCTGTCCTCCTTCCCCTTCCCCCTGCCCTCTCCCCTTGGCTGAGCGGGCGGCGCTTGCGCAGCCGCCATGTTCGGTTGCTATGCTGCGGCCCCGGGAGACGGGGAGAGCTTGAGGGAGGAGGAGGAGGAGGAGGAGGAGGAAGAGGAAGGGGGGGGCGGTGACTGAGCCACCTCTGGCTCTCTCTCTCTCACGCTCCTACCCTGTTCAGGCTGACACTCTCCTGCTCCCCTGCGTCCTTTCCCCCTCCCGGACTCCTGGCTCCTTGAGGCTGAATTGAGGGGGGAGTGTCTGGGGATAGAGGGTCAGGATTTTTTTTCTAGGGGGGACGGTGGTGTTGTGAATTCTATCCCCCCCACCTAATCCCTGGGTTCTCCCCCACTCCTCATTGGTGGTGTCATCATTTTTTTTTGAGGAAGAGGGTGCTATAAATTAGTTTTTTTGGGGGGCGGTGAGTGGTGAAAGGAGCTTATTGCTTTCTCCCCTCTCCCTCCCTCCCTTCCCTCCCCCTACCCCTCCTCCCTTCACCCTGTGCTGCTGCTGCTGCTGCAGCTGCAAGCCCCGCAGTATGAGGTGGTGCTGGCTGCTGAGGCCAGTGGGCTGGTGGCCGCTCCTGCTGCCCGGGGGGCACTGAGAGCCAGCCGGGGTGGGGGGGGATCGGAAGATTTTTTATTTTCCCTCCTTCCATCCGAAAGGACGCGACTGATATATGAAGGTAAGAGGCTTCCTCCTCTCCGCCCTCACCCCCCCTTCTCCCATCCCACGGGCAATCATGGAACATTGGTGTGATTCTCAGGATATTCCACTATGTGTGGGTTTCTAAAGGAGGTACTCCAGGCGTGTGTGGAAGTGGTCTAGGTGGTGGGGAAGGCCAGAAAAAAAAAAAAGGTACTTTTCCCCACCCCAGTACTTCCTCGGGCCTTTTCACTCCCTTCTCAAGTAAAACAGTTTTTTGGAATCTCTGCTTTGGGTTGCTTGCTCCAAGGGAGAAGAAAGGTGGTAGGGCGGATGCGACGATCTTCGAGACCTAAAATAGGGGTAACGCATCTTCAGAATTTTCCATTACTGATGGGGATTCTGTTGATTGCCTTGTATTAATTGATTGCATTGATGCCACGGTAGAACGTGGCTGCCATCAGTTTAGTTTTTAAGCTTTATATACTTATACTTGTTTAGTGATTTTAAGCATTGATGCAAGGATTGAATGTGGCTATTTGTTTTAAGCTTCATACACTTCTTATTCAGTGACTTGCTTTTAAGTATTGATGCAAGGGTTGAATGTGGCCAACATTTGTTTTTAAGCGTCATATACTTCTTAGGGACTTGTGTTAAGCATCGATGCTCGGGTAGAATGTGGCTAACATTTATTTTCAAGCGTCATATACTTCTGCTGGTGTATATGCGGTTAAGAAACTGTTCCCCCCAGAAAAAAGTTGAGGAAAAAGCTAAAATGTGCTTGTGCGTTTTCTGAAATGTTTAAAGTTGAAGACTTTTACAGTTACGTATGTACATAGAGGGATGGTGTCTACGATACTTGTAGTATATCAATATCACACACAAAAAAAGGATGTTTTGTGGGATTTTAAAAGTACTTGTTCAAAAAGAATCTAAAGATTTGTATTATTCCAGCTGATCTAATCCAAGGTTGTAACATTGTTTCGACTATTAATGTGAGAAAATCTTGGGCCTCTGTTTAAACCGAAGGACTCTGGCTACCAGCTTTTTAAAATATTCATAGGGAAGAGAACAAAAAAAGCCCCGTTAATCTCGATGTATCTGAATCTTAAAGGGGTAATTTCAGAACAAATGAAAGTTGTTGAACTGTTAAAAAAAAAAAAAAAAAAGCAAACCACAAACTCCACCACCTCCCAAAAAACAACCCAAACCAAAACAAAAAACAACCCACGCATTTTATTCTGAATTTCTCTGCGCCCTGGAGTTAAATCCTGACAGGAAGTACTGGATTTTGGAACAGAGATGTTGAACTCTATGTCCACAATACATTTCTCTTAAGACCAGTGTGTGCCTGTTGCAGTGTAGCTATATATGTTAACTAAATCCTTAATTTGATTCAGTACTGTGAATAAAACTCAAATTTAGATTGAAACCTTTTTTATTTAAGCAAATATTTGGCTATTGTTACAGAAACTCCTACTACACACAGTCTCATGGTAACATAGTTTGTGCACCATATTTTTGGCTGCAATTCATGCCTAATTTACCCAAAATTTATTTTTGTTACACTACATTTTTCATTATATAAAAACTATCATTTTTAATTGAATTGATGGTTGCATCAATCCTTGGATATGCTGCCATAATCTTAGGTATTTCAGTGTTTTATGATCAGAGAAAGGTAGCTGTTTATACATGGGAAGATATGATTTAGTTTATCAGTTGTATTATTTTGCATAGAATTTTGAGTAGATGTATCATAAATATTAATCAAATGTTAAATTTTAAGGTGATTTTTAATAGTACTGTGTTTTAGTTTTGCAGATACTGGGTTATTTCCAAGACCTTTAATGTTGAGGTATATATAGTAGGTTTATTAAGTTAGGAAATTTGTAACTTTTATTTGGGGTGTGATGCTTCATTAAAAGCAGCAATGATGTGATTTTCACATTACTTAATTCTAGTGTGTATAGATTCTGGGTTGTGGTTGGCTTAGATACAGCAGAATATCATGTCTCAAACTATTAAGTGGTTAAATATTTTAGGTACTAATAAATAGCTTTTTAAAATCCCATGTAACTGTGTTACTTTAAATTTATGCCACCCAATTTCTATTTTAATTTAGGCTATGTGCAAAACCAGCATTGATTGAACACTTGCTAAAAATACTTTCTGGGTCGGGTGTACTTAGATACAGCCTCAGGAAAGTTCCTCTGAACCATTCTTCTGTGATTAATACACACATTGTTGAAGGACTTGTTAAAAAATTATAGAATCTCATAATTTAAGCTTAATCTGTTTTTCAAGGAGAGAAGCCTAATTGGTTACCATTATATGTAAAGTACTTAAAATGTGTTAGAATAAATACATATTTTTGTTTCGTTTTGTGCTCAATGAGATCTATAGGACATTTCCACTCTGTTGTATATGTATAAACAAATTTTAGTTTCCGTTACCAAAAATCAATAGCCAACAGGGCAGTAAAGTTTATTTTACCTGTTGAGCTTCTGGAGAGATACTTTATTGGTCGGAATAAAATCTCTGAGAAGCAAAGTGTTTTGGTTTTTATTTTGGTGGTTAATGTGTAACTTACCTACTCAATTTTATTACTGGTATATAGTTATTACTAGTATATGGTACAGTAATACTAGTATATGGAACTAGTTTAATACTAGTATGTGATTTATTACTGATATATGATACAGTGCACATATATATATACATATATTTGTGTATACTTCAAAAGGTCTGTGATTTCATCAGTTTGATACTTCTGCACTCATACAAATCATAGCACCTCTGGGACTTAAGAAATGGTCATCTGAATTGTGGCCAAAGAAATTCATCACCTTATTAGCTTTCTGAAGATAACTCTCTCTCCCCCGTAAGCCCTGCTCTCTGGGAGGTAGTCTATTGATTGGGTGGAGGAAGGGATTCTTAAAGCCTTTCTGCTTGGTCAAGCATGCCAAAACTTGTGGTCCACTGGCATCACCAGATAGCCACACAGTAAAATGCTGTTGATAGGAAGTTTTAGTAGAGTCAAGTGTGTGTTTGTTTACATGTAATAAGCCCTCTGTGATCCCCACCCTATCACTTAGTCTTCAGTCTCTCCCCATCTGCTGGCTTCTTTTCAACTGTCTACAAGCATACCCAAGCCTCCCTCAGCCTCAAAAAACCCTAAATTGATCCCTCTGGCCCAGCTAACAATCTTTCTATAGCTCTTATGCTTTTTTGTGGCTAAACTCCTTGAGAAGGCAGTCTATAATAGGTGCCCCCACTTTTTTCTCCTCTCACTTTTTTAACTCTGTAGAATCCTGTTTCCAGCTTTATCATTATTCACAGTATATCATTATACATGGAAACTGCACTCTCCAAAGTTACCAATAATTTCCTTATTGTCAAATCCAGTGGCCTTCTCTCAGTCCTTACTCTTCTTGACCTCCCTGTAGCCTTTGACACTATTTATTACACTCTTCTCTTTGATACTCTCTTTTCTTTAGGTTTTTGGGATACCACTCCTCCTGGTTCTCATCCTGCCTATCAGACTGCTCCTATTCAGTCTCCTTTGCTTATCCTCATCCAGGTCATGCCCACTAAACGTAGGTAGGTGTCCCACAGGGCTCTGTCCTCATTCCTCTTTTCTTCTGCCTCTATATTATTTCACTTGGTGATCTCATTAGCTCTGATGGATTCAGTTATTTCTATGTTGATGATTCTCAAATCTATATATCCTTCCCTAACCTCTCTGCTGATCTCCAGTCTCACATCTCCAACTGCCTTTCAGATATATCTTGAACTGGATGTCTAAACTCAGCATGTCCATAACTGAATTCATTGTCTTTTCCCACTAAATCTACCCCTTTCCAAACTTCCCTATTACTGTGGAGGACACCACCATTCTCCAAGTTTCCCAGATGCCCAACTTAGATGTCACCCTCAACTCTTCACTGTTTCTCACCTCCATATCCAATCTGTTGCCAAAGCCTGTTGATTTTGCCATTTTTGCAACGTCTCTTGACTCTATTGCCTCTTCTCCTTTGACACTGCCACCACTGTGGTAACAGGCTTTCATCACCACACACTTGGATGATTGCAGTAGCCTTCTGGTGAGTCTGTTTGCCTCAAATTTCTCTCATTCCACTACATCTTCCATTTAGCTGCCAAAGTGATTTTCCTAAAACATGGGTCCAACCATGTCACCCTCTTACTCAGTAAACTCCAGTGGTTCCCTCGCACCTCCTGAATCAAATACAAAATCTTCTGTTTGGTGTTCAAAGCCCTTTATAACTTACCCTCCCTCCCACCTCCACCTTTCCAGTCTTTTTGCACCTTAATCTCTCCCATGTTCTCTTTGAACCAGTGACACTGACCATCTTGCTATTACACAAATAAGACGCTTCATCTCTTAGAACTAAACATTGTCACTGGATGTTCACCATGCCTGGAATGTTCTCTCTCCTCATCTCTAGGCCTCCTGGCTTCCCAAGCTTCTTTCAAGTCCTAGCTAAAATCCCATCTTCTACAGGAAACCTTTCCTAACTCCACTTAATTCTAGTGCCTTGCCTCTTAATTATTTCCTATTTATCCTGTATATAGCTTGTTTGTACATATTTGGTTCTCTCCCCTTATAGATGATGATTTCTTTGAGAACAGGGATTGTCTTTTGCCTCTTTTTTGTATCCCCAATATTTAAGACAGTTCCTGGTAGATGGTAGGTGCTTAATAAATGCTTATTCACTGATTGATTGATATATGGCAGGAGTGGGTGAATTTTTATTATCTTACAATATAATATGACTTACAATATAATATGCTCTCATCTAGCAGATATGAGTTGATTCCCATAAAGTTTAGGCAGCAGTGAAAATACATTCATGTTTAGATAATCATCAGTAATAGAAATTTTTTGTTTTTATTCCTGGTTGGTACCTGTGCTGAAATTTAATTTGTTTACCAAAGTCAAGAAGTCTTATACTCAAGTTTAAGGAATACAAGGATTCTTGTTTTTTCCACATTTTCCTATTAGGACTCTTCCTGTCT